CCTGACAGCCCCGGGAACAGCCATTATTATTATCTTATTATCATCGTCTGACGTTACAGGTGAGCAGACTGAGCCCGGAAAGGGTCAGGCATGTGCCCAAGGTCACGCAGTGCAGACCTGGCCTTTCCACCCCCACCCCGGTAGTCTTTCCCACCGCGCGTCCTGCCTCTCCAGCCTCAGTTGGGGAACTGCTTGTCCCCAAAAAAAGGTGCTGGCCGCGAATGCACGGTGACTTCCAAAAGTTCGTGGAAAATGGAATGAAAGAACAAGATCATTTTGGTGCAAAGGATTTGGAAATCCACACATAATATAAATTTTGAGAATATAAATTTTCTATGAACTTTTGAAGACACTTCTCCCCTGACTCATGTGAAAGAATTGTTGGGACCAACAGACGGCGGGCATAATGGTTATGTTGCTGGACTCCCACATGGCCGACTGCAGTTCGAGTCCTGGACCTGATGACTTGAAACTCACGCTGGGAGTGTATGCGTGCGTGCCCAAAATCCTAAGAGGAGAATGGAAGAGATTGGATTGCGGTGTGGCCATCCCTTCTAGGGGGTGATTTCTCACTTTCTGTCCCTCTATCTCTCCAGCAAGCACACGCACCCTATAGCAAAAATCTCCCTAAGGAAATAAAAGAATTGATTCGTGCAAAGTGAAATTAACTTCCTATTGGGACATCATTTTCCAAGGCTAAGTAAAGATGTCCCTAACTGCCACCAGATCGCCTCAGGTAGTGCTTGCTAAACCTTAGTTGGAGGAGAGGTTGGGTGTGACAAAGGAGGAGGGAGAGGAGGGGACCTCCTGAATAAGAGGCGTTTGTTACCGGTCCGCTGCAGAGTAGGAGGGCCAACTGCCTTTATGATGGTTGACCTGACTCACTTGCAGAGGACTCATATGTCGACCCGGGATGGCCTCCCTGGGGCGTCAGTGAGGGGTGCCCACTCCTGGCTGTCCCTACCTCGGGCCCCACCTGAGGGGCTGTGGGGCTGGTACCCATGAGGCGGTCCCTGACTCACCTACGCCCCAACTGTGCAGCCAAGTGCCAGGAAGGAGTTGTGGGTAACATCTCTGTTATGGTCTGGTTGCCATGGCAATAAATTGTCGCTAATTAGTAGTGTGGTTACCATGGCAATTTTCTAGTAATTACAGGTTACAAATGGTGCAAGGCTTCAACCCAACCCAATTAGTTAATTAGAAAGATTTAGAAATTTGTCCAAAAGGGAAATAACCTGCTTTGTAGAAAATGAAGGGAATGTGTCACAGCTTAGGAGCCAGAGGCAGCGCAGAAATCGGAGGGTGCCGAAGCGGGAAGAAGGATAGAGCGGCATGGCAGGGAGTCTCTGAGTGCCACCTGGAACGTCCACCTGGAACGTCCAGGGGCCTGGGCAAGGCTGAGGCACTCTCACGGAAACCTGGGCCTGGGCTGGAGCCTGGCAGGACTGGGACAGAGACGGCCTCCAGCAGTCACTTAGCAGCCCCTTACCCGGTGGGCAGGGGCTGCACCCGGCTGTGCCCAGCTCCCTGCCCCTCCCTGCCCTGCTGGCTGTAGGAAAGGCCTCTGGGAGCCCCCCACCACCACCCCGGCTCTCTCAGGAAAGCACAGGCCACACCTTGGAGGGAGTGATGTGAATGGCTCCTGAGGCTCAGGCTTGCCTTCAGCTCTAATCGGATTATCTGGGGGACTCCCGAGGCATAGGGCCCAGAACGTGTTAACAAGGTCTCCAACCAGGAGATCAGTGGCAGTGGCAATTCCGGCCCCAAATGCCCGGGCTCTGTTCCCCCAGGTGAGAAAGGGCCTTTGATTTCTTCTGGTGGCATCTCCCAGAGGGTGGGAGGGGACACAAAGGACCCCCACCCTATCTCAAATTAGCACAGTCGCTTCGGGCACCTCCGCCCCATCCAGAGGTGGGTGACGGGTGAGGCGCCGTCTCACGGGTCTGCCTGAGCTCTCTGTTCTTTTTTTTTTTTTTTTTTTTTTTTTTTTTTTTTTTTTTTGGGGGGTTTTTACTTG